TTTTTTTTTTTTCCTTCTTCTTCTTCGTCTTCTTCTTTCTTCTTCTTCTTCTTCTTCTTCCTGAGGGGGGACGGACGAACTGGGTTTTATTTTTATTTTTTTTTCCTTCTTCTTCTTCTTCCTCCTTCAGGTTGGGTTGGGGTTTTTTTTTTTTTTTTTTTCTTCTTCTTCTTCTTCTTCTTCTTCTTCCTCCTCTTTCTTTTTGGGTTGCAGGAGGTTGGGTTTATGGTGGGGGGACGAACTGGGTTTGGTTTGGGGTTTTTTTTTTTTTTTTTTTTTTCTCTCTTCCTCTTCTTCCTCCTTCTTCTTTCTGGGGTTGCAGGAAGATGGGGGAAGAGAGAGAGAGGAGGGAGGGATGAAAGGGAGGTTTATTTTTTATTTTTTTTATGTACTTTTTTTATTATTTTAATATTTAAATAATATTAAATGATTTTTTTGTTTTTATTAATTTTTTATTAATTTTTTAATAAAACATGGGTCCCGGATCAAGCCACGTCAGCATTTAACTGAGAAATAAACGGCCAAGCTAACAAAAGGTATAACATTGACACAAATTCTAAAGATGAGGTATGACATTGTCAATTTTAAAAGATAAGGTATGAAAGTGTCGTGACACTAATAGTTAAGATAATTTTTTGTACTTTACCCAATAATATTTATTATGTGTCTATTAATTTTTAGATTAATATGTAGGAAAAATTACACATAGAGTATACTTTTAATACTTAATTATATATTGAGACAACATTTTTTAAACATCTCAATGAGAAACAAAAGTCAATGCATATGGAAAATGACATCATTGACTTTTTATTTTTAGAGTGTAAGTTACGAAAATATGCTTTATATTAAAATTCAGAATGTGAGTTTTTCGCTCAGCTTCCACCATTCCTCGAACTAGATCCAAAATGGCAGACCAAGCCCCCGAGAGGCAATCAAATCCCCAAAGAAAAAGATATGGATATTCTTAAATATAGTCCAAATTTGTCTCACTTGGTGGCTGGCTTTATGAAGCAAATATAAACACAAGGTGAATAGGAAGCCACATCGAAATTGTTGTTGACTACAACTTCTTTCCAGATGTATCGTTATTTCTTCATGCTCGTTCCAAGTTTGAAGTACCATTTGTACAAATAAGAATCCCCTTTGTTACATGATTTCAATGTGACTTCCTATTCAATTGCCAAAATTGGTTAAATCCGAATCGGCCACCAAACTCTACTCTTTCTACGATTCAAACATTTCAACTTCACTACAACTCAATCCATGTCGTCAATCTTCAATCACAAATTCACAATCCAAATCTCGAAGGTACCCTCTCAAATTTCAGTTCATTTATAGGGTTTTAATTCCAATTGATTTAAGGATTAAGATTCACCATCCAATTTTTAAATTTTCTTTCAGATTTTGTGATTGGAGTTAAAATTCGAGGCTCATAGCACAAATAAAGCCCCATACACTGCTAATTCAGAGCAAGAAGAATGGGCCAACTCAAATCAGTACCATATATGCAATTTAATTATCACTCTAGTCGCCTTGTCATTATTTGCTACTTATATTGGTCCAGAAGGCAACATTTCAACTGGTATTTTCAAAATGTAACATTTGAGCTAGTAATGTCAAAAGTTTCACTTTATTTCTAGATACAAGCAAAGGCACTCGAACATTTCGGCTCACGTTCACCTTGCTTCCGTGTGAAAGAGGAAAATTATGTTAGTATTAGCCGAAGACAGATTGAATTGATTCTACAAAAATAGTCGAGGATGGGTTGAACTAATTCTACAAAAATGGTCAATGACGGGTGCTAATTCTGCAAAAATTGTCGATTACGAGTTGAATTGATTATGTAAAAGTGGTCGAGGACGAATTGAACTGATTCTGCAAAAATGGTCCTTGTCGGGTTGAATTGATTTTGTAAAAATGCTCCTAGTCGGGTTGAACTGATTTTGCAAAAATGGTTGAGGACTAGTTAAACTTTGAATCGATTCTACAAAAATGGTCAACGACAGGTTGAACTGATTCTGCAAAAATAGTCAAAAACGAGTTGAACTTACTCTGCAAAAATAGCCGACGACGAATTGAACTGATTCTGGAAAAATGGTCGGACGGGTTGAATTGATTCTGCGAAAATGGTTGAAGACTAGTTGAACTAATTCTGCAAATGGTCGATGACGGGTTGAACTGATTCTGCAAAAATGGATAACAACAGGTTGAATTGATTCGGCAAAAATGATCGATGAAGGTTGAACTGATTCTGCAAAAATGGTCGAAGATGGGTTGGAATTGATTCCGAAAAAATGATCGAAGAAGGTTGAACTGATTCTACAAAAATCATTGAGGATGAATTGAACTGATTCTACAAAAATGAAGACGGGTTGAACTGATTATGCAAAAATAGTTGAAGATGAGTTGAGCTTTTGGCAAATATTAATTTTATTAAAGTTGTGAGGGCCGAGTTTTATTAATAGCCTAAAACTTTAGGGGTATGGCTGATAATTTAAAACATTGTTTCCATGTTTTTGGGTTGGGATTTAGTTGTTTTTATGTTTTTGTCTCTCTTTGACATGTTTAAAAACTAGTAAAGTTCCTTAAAATATAGTAAAAGTTTTTTTCTCTATATATAAAGCTCCCTAATATGTAATAGGTAATTAATTAAAATCTTTTTGTAAATCATATTTCATTAATCTTTAATTCTCATTCCATTATTATTTGATTGATATTTTTTTTTGTTGGTGTTGAATGTTTTAGGCTATAATCTTGCACAAAACGGATTTATGGTCACAATATGTTTTATAGCTTGACATTGTATTTTTGTTGAGAAATGCTAAGGAGACTTTGTTAAAGTTGGACTTCTTCATGAACTCTCTGCCACTTCATGTTTTTGGCACAATTCTTATGCGTGGTAACATTATAAAACATTGTGCCAAAAAAAATGAGTTGGGAGAGAGTCTATGGAAAGTCTCACTTTTAAGTAGGGCTGGTTTGGTATGGGATACCGAACCGAAAATGGCATACCAAATCCCAAACTGAAAATTTTCGGGACAAGAATTCGACGATCGATCCGGAACTGAAACTTCAGGATTCCCAAAACCAAACCTGCATCAAAATCCAAATCATCTAGATTGAAATTGAAATCATTTGAACCTACATTAAAAACCCAAACTGAAATAAGAGAGAGCAAGAGACAGAGTGAAGAGATAGTCAGATGGACTCGCGTCCTCCTCCTGACCCGAGCCCCCAATTTGAAACCCTAAGCCCCAATTTGAAACCCTAACCTTAATTTGAAACCCCACACACACAGAGACTAGAGAGAATCGGTGATGGGGGATGAAGTTGTGAGGTGTGGTGGTCGCTGGATTGGAGAGAGTTCATCGGAGTCAGATTGTGATAGGGTAGGTGGCTGCTGAGCTTCGAATTCGAGAAGGAGAGGCAGAGAGACAAAGAGAGTCTGAGACTGAGTGAACTTAATGCTTAAAGGTCTGAGTCATTCAAACGAAGCCAAACTCTTGGTGAGGATTGATGATGTTATCACCTGAGATGCTGTTATTCCTAGAAAGTGTTTTTCAGTGAGGGATGAGAAGTCGAGAGAGAGATCAGGGAGGTCAGTCAAGAAAGAGAGAGAGGTGAGTCACTTGTGTGATGTGGCCAAATTCGAAGATGGCAAATAAAGAGGAGGAGAAAGATTGAGAGAAATCGGTGAGGATAAGAGAGCAGGGAGAGGTGAGGTCGAGAGAGAGTGACTGAGTGAGGGTTTTATTTGAATTCAACGGTTAAGATTAAATCTCAACCAAATCCGATGGTTGTTACAATTCCAAATATATATTTAAAATTAAGTAAAATATATATATATATATATATATTTTTATTTCGGTTCGATTCAGGATTACCAAACGAATGAAAAAGTGAGACCGATTCCCGTACCAAAATTTCAGCATCAATTCGGCATTGGGTACTGAAATTTTGGGGATTTTCAGTTTGGGATTTTTTTTTTTTGTTCAATTTTGGGATTTTTTTCGGTTTGGTTTGGAATTTTCGATATTTTTTTCCAGCCTTACTTGTAAGAGAATCTCCTTAACAATTCTCTTGTATTGTTAGATCATGAAACTTAAATGACGGTAAACTTGTTTTATACAAGTTGCTCTCTAATACAAGACGAAAACTCCAAACCCACCATTGATACACGAAGAAGAACTCAACGTGTGATCAAATGACTGTAGCACCGTGACCACCACAAGCCAACATATACCAGTCCACAGTTGAACCCATAATTGCATGGATCACGGTCAATCAGATCCAACCTTAACCCGGTTAATACATTGGAAAGACCTCGAGGTGATAACTGACACGTGTCCGCTTTGTGGATCCGAAAAACCCTCGCTACACTCCATAAATCTTGTCCTCTCTGTCTCACCACCTTCCAAGTTCAAGCCTCTCTCTTTCACTCTTTCTCTCTCCTCAATCCTTTCGCTCAATCCACTTTGCTTTCTGTGTTTACTCCTCACTCTCTCTCTAGATATTTGCAGCTGGGATTCCATCAATCTCCACCGTCGATTTTGCAGAGATGGAGTTCTGAAGACGATGATGATGAGTCCTCATGATCTTCTTCCTCTGCTGGTAAGAACCATCAATACTGATTGGGGTTTTTACATGAAGAAATGTTCGAACCATTTATGGCGATCCACATGCGTTCCCTAATTTGGTTGCGCAAGAGGAAAAAGAACCCTAAAAATCCTACAAAACCCACATCTCAATTAATCTCCTAGCTCTCAAATCACACCTTAAAAGTTCTTCTTTTTCTGAGTAACAGGTCATTTCTTAGTAATCGTTCGTTTTGTAAAGTTCCCAGATTGTATTTTTACTTCATTTCAAAATCTAAAGTACTTTTTTTTGTTTGCTGATTATTATCGGGTTTGAGTGTTTGCTGAGCTCGGAACTAGCTAGTAGTGCTCGAAATTTTGTTGAAATCTTTAGGTGGTAGGGAGGATTTGGAAAATTTATAGGTGGGGAAGAGTGGTTTGTATTCTGGATCTTGAATCGGGTTTTAAAGGTGGCGAAGATGAGCTTGAGCGCGGCCGAGGACGATTCGGCTTCGGAAATTCACATCCCGGCTGATATAGATTGGCATATGCTTGACAAGTCCAAGTTTTTCTTTCTGGGTGCTGGTTTGTTTTCTGGTGTTTCAGGTGCTTTGTATCCAATTGTAGTGTTAAAAACCCGCCAACAAGTTTCACCCACTCAGATTTCTTGCTTGAAGATGTCTTGTGCAATCATGCGCTACGAAGGTCCTAAAGGGTTTTACAGAGGTTTTGGGACCTCTCTGATGGGAACAATTCCGGCTCGAGCGCTTTACATGACCGCGCTTGAAGTCACCAAGAGCAATGTTGGAACTGTGACGGTTAGATTAGGATTTTCGGATACTACAGCAATGGCGATAGCGAATGCAGCTGCAGGGTTGAGCTCAGCCATGGCGGCCCAATTTGTTTGGACCCCGATCGATGTTGTGAGCCAGAGGCTCATGGTTCAGGGCTGCACCAGCAGCACCAAACACATCCTCCCCAATGTGAGTTCTTATAGGTATAGAAATGGCCTTGATGCTTTTACGAAAATTGTTCATGCCGATGGATTGAGAGGATTGTACAGGGGATTTGGGATTTCGTCACTGACTTATGCTCCTTCAAATGCGGTTTGGTGGGCTTCTTACTCTGTTGCACACAGACTCATTTGGAGTAGTTTTGGTGGCTATATGTGTAAGAAAGATGAGAGTGGCTCAGGCAATGGGTCTAATTTGCGGCCCGATTGCAAGGCAATGCTGGCCGTGCAGGCGTTGAGTGCAGGCATGGCAAGTGGGGTTTCTGCTCTGATTACCATGCCGCTGGATACTGTCAAGACGCGGTTGCAAGTTCTGGATGCGGAAGAAAACGGGCATAGAAGACCGCTGACAATGATGCAGACGGTGAGAAATCTGGTGAGGGAAGGAGGGTTTGCTGCTTGTTACAGAGGGCTAGGCCCTAGGTGGGCTTCAATGGCAATGTCTTCCACAACCATGGTTACTACCTATGAGTTTCTCAAAAGAATGTCTACCAAGAATCAATAGAGCTGCGCCGAAAGAAGTGGTTTTTATTTCCATGCACATTTCAAATCCTTCTTGCCTGGATTTGGCTACAACGGCATACCTATTGCCATATTGATCATGTAAATTTGTACATAGTCTAGTAGTTTTCTTTCATTTGATTTGCCCCTTTGTGCAAGAATTTCCGTTCCGTTTTGATGGAATGACATTAGTAGATTGGTAACACCGTGTTTCATATCGTTGGCCCGAATTTAATGAAGACGATGAACAAGTGAACGGGAAAGAAGTGGAGTTTTTATTTATGATTAACCTAAGTTTTGGATTTTATGCTTGCAATTATCTATTGGGATCTCTTTGTCATGTTGCTGGACGGAAAATGTTGATGTAAGAAACTTTTAAAACTATATTTTATTTTTTCCCTTTTTTTTTCATTGATAAGAAGAGGGTTCTAAACTTTTACAATACTTCAGAGGGAGGAGTTTCAAATCCTAAACATATAGGTGGAAACTTAACAGCTTATCCATTAAAATATTAGAACACGTACTTTAAAACTGCCTTAATATTGTGGGAAGCCCACTATCCAGAAATAACAAAGGTTAGTCAGAAACCTCGTGCACAACTTGATGAGTGGAATTGGGTGGGTGGTTTGGCTCTGGCCCCTCTTAAGTTAAAGGCAAGTTTGTTTCATATGGCCTCCCCCCTACATTCATGAATGTTCCCAATTATTACCCTTTAATAAACCATCTTGAAAGCCCTAGAATTGGCATGCATCTTTTTAAAGGCTACATTGAATACATTGGCCGCTATTAGTTATGAAATTTTCAGTATGCCACACTGTGAATTGGCCGAGCGTACTTAATAAATACATGAATTTCAAGCTCAACGAAAATTTCATCACGTTATGTGATGAGTGGTTGGGATTCGATTTGATTGTCACATTACCAATTGGCAAAATTTTCTTGATGCCATGTGGATCTTTAGCTCAACAGACGCTCCATTACATTACGTGACAAGTGATTTGGATACAAGAGGATACATATCTTTTGGTTTAGTGTCTCACCCAATTGCCCAAGCATGTTTAATGAATATGCGAACTTCATTTCAAACTCAAGAAATGCTTTATCAAGTTGCGCAATGAATAATTTAAAGACACGACGATACATAAATTTTAGACTCAGCTTCATCAGATCACATGATGAGCAAGTTGAATACAAGAAGATATACTCTCGTCCCGTTGACGTAACATATTCTCTCCTAACAGTCAACAATGTGCATCTGAACTAGACGTGATGTCAAATTTCACCAGTAAATAGAACAACTTAACATGTTGAAGTTGAACCAGGTGCCGATAAAAACAAGAGGAGGTGGCAATTGTCAAGGTGGGCGGACGGTTGAAGAAACTGATCAAACACTCGAGAGGTGAAACGTCCATCAAACACAGCATTTGCGTGCGGAAGCACCTTTTTGTATTTTAATGGGACCCAGACTCCAAAACCAGGGGCTAATCCGGTGCGATGCAATGAACTGTGGACCATCAGACCTGTGACATTTTCTTCAATCTCTATGGACCATCAATCCAAAGACGCCACTGAAAACAGTGGGCCTCACGTGTTTCGTTCCCAGTTTCTCTCTTTTCTCCCTCCCTCTTATTGCCTTATCCACAATGTGACATTGTCTGATCCACCCTGAAATGTCCAGTTGAAATGGAAAGGGATCCTCTCCGAATCCCTTTCCACCAAATCCATCAAGTTCAAGGTTTGGGTTATTGAAATTTGATTAAACAACTACAAACAAAAAGCTCTTTTAAAAGTTATAATAACTGTAACCGTTGGATCAAATTTCAACGGTTCGAATCTCGAATTTGGTGGAAAAGAATCCGAAGAGCCAGATCCCCTTCCCGTTAAAATGACTTGTATAGCACGGGTATAATAATATTGTGGCTCTTCAAGTTAATCGCTTTCGATGAAAATGATGAAAAGTAATTAAAAATGTGAAAACATGAAATGAATCTTTAGAAATATCATAACGCAGTTTGTGCATATTTAACCGATATGACGAAAATATTGACAAAATCTATTGAATTTAGCCGAAATTTAAAAGTTTATCTGTTATGACTTCATCCGGTTTTCATATCTTTCTTGATTTCTCTGATATCAACAGTATCGAAGAAATTTCACACAATGCTAATATTATATTATTGGCTTGGCAGACTACAATTCGAGTGTACACGTTTCATAATCGCTCGTGTTTTATGTCATATAAATACATGACACACGAACACAGTCTGAACCGTTGACGAACATTGTTACACCAAGCAAACACCAAACGCTTTAATGTGTTTGAAACCAAAAACTATTTTGGGCTTGGGCAGGGCCAATTCTTTAGCTATACAGAGACTGGACCTTGGGGCCCGATTCAAAAAAGCGCTTCCAATAGAAGTGCTTAGATTAATACTTAGAAATTTTCACCAAAAATCCTAGAGGGGGATCATCTTCCATTTCAAAGCACAAGGAGAATGAAGCAAAAACACACCTTGAAATTTTCAGGATGAAATTTTTACACCCCTCAACGAAACGTTTGACACCTCTCGAGATCGAAGCTCAAAGACAAACAAGACAGAAGATGCTACAAGGTTGATGAAAATCCAATTGTGAAATAGAGACTTTAATTTTATAGACACTGTGCTACATTCACGCAGAGAAATGACGAGTTCCACACTCACAGGGGGGAAATCGTTTCCGACCTGAACATAAATATCCTAACTTAATTGAAATAGACAGCAGACTTGCAAACTACGCAACAAGTCAAGATCCAAGATAAAATTTCCTAAAGTTACAAGCTTTGAGACAGAGAGAAAACCTGACCTAGACAATTAGCAGTCAACCACGAGAATACGCAAGTCACCTCCCCAGAAAAACCATCAATGTTTGGCTCTCTTGTTGCTGCAAGATGGGCATTTGTACTGCTTGATATGCTCGGCTCTTGCTGGGGTGATCTTGACACACTTACCGTGGAACCACTTCTCGCAGATGTCGCAGCAAATCCAAAATTCATCAGATGCGTAGTTTTCTCCACAAGCCCCACACAGTGTCTCGCCGTGCTCATCCTCGTCTTCATCTTCCAAACCTTCTTCCTCGTTCTCCTCTGCATCCTTTGACTGCGATGCCTTTGAATACCTGGGTTGAGGCTCAGAACCTCGCTGCATTTGCCAACCGAATATGAATAAGATACAATCTGGCCAGGTTGTTCAGAAACCAAAAACTAAGGATTCATCTTCTCGTCTGATGTTGGAATGGCTTCACAAAATTTACAGAAATTTCAGAGTTGTTATTTTCCGTTCACAATATTTTATGAATATAGCAAAGTTTCCTCACGGGCACATCTATAATTCAAAAACATAGAAGTAGAAACATCAAACAAGTATTCAGAAACTGGCAATCAATTTTTTCCAGACCTTAGAGTTTGACTTAGATCTGTTGCTGCCATGATTTGAATTTGATGACTTCTCCTTCACTTGTTTCTTGGTTGTCCCTGTCACAACCTCGAATATTGTTGGAAGTTCATTTATCATATTAAAAAGGCGTTTCCTGCAATGTAGATACCAACATCATATTGGTAAGTGAATTCAAGATCAATAATACGGCAGTGTTGCAACATGAAACCAGAAGAGGTCACAAGAAAATGAGATTTGGATTGTAGTTAGCACTGCAAGCCGCCAAATGAAGGCAATGTTGGATAAGTACAATCTCAGTAGGGAAATTCAGAGAAATAGATAGGCCACATTACAGTTTTTGGCAATGCTCTTGATTTAATTTTCATTTGCAAACAGAACTAACTTTACAGAAATAGGCCACGTTACTTCCTTGTACATCAGAAATTTAAATAAAAGAATCCAAAAACTGCGACCGAAAAAAAGAATGCAAAATCCAAACACCTTCAACTACATTCCTAATAAAGATGTCAGAAGAAAGTAACACAGCTATAGCACGATCACCTTCTAGATCTTCCAAAAAAAGAACAGAATCAATCATTTAAAACAGCTGTGAACAGTCGTAAAGGAAGTAGACTACAAAGCATCAACTTTACTATAGCTCAATCCCGAACAGAAGAATTACACAGCAAACATACAATGTGCGTGTGCATAGACATTGGAACATAAAAAGTTTAAAAACACATAACTACAGGAAACTATAACATCGGGACAATGATTATGCCCTGACTTGACTTCATGGGAATAAGGAAAGCATTTTGCATGCCATATGCAGAACTGTTGGCCTGACCTAAAATCAAGTGATAACATCAACTTGAATGCACGATTTGAATCCATTGAATCATTCAGAATCAAACCATGCATTTATCATATGGTACAAAGAAGCATACCTATCAGCCTTATCAAATCCAAACCTCGCACCGAAATAAAATGCCACTGCAAGCAACCATGCATCACTGTGGACAGCAACCAAGGATAACCAGTCCTTTTCTTGCATCCCATCTCTCGCAAAGTTGATACCAAGTGCTGGCTCCGGAAGCTCTGGAGGAACCTCCTCCGCAGGCAAATTAACTTCCCACTGCTCACTGGGGAATCCATAAAGGCAAAGATTTTCCTTCTCTGTCATGAAAGATGTTTAAGGTAAAGTTACATGCTCTCCGAAAACTAAGGAAGCAATCAAGGTATAAGAGAGAAACATGCTTAGAATTAACCTTTACAACAGCTTTAAACAGCTGCATTCTCATTCTTCATCAAAATGTATAACGCAACAATAATCAAAATTTCAATTTTTTAACAAAGAACCCAAACCACAACTGATCGCCTTGAAAAACATTTATTTTTGTCTTTGAGGTAGTAACTCAAAAACCGATCAAACCGCAACAATTCAATTCAGCTTTCAAAACTTTAATCAGACATGAAAACACAACTAAACTCATTACTCTAACAATTAAACTAAATACTCTCTGCAAAGTTGGATTAAGGTTGAATACGATAGACGTTCCCTCAACCCTTGCAAAGCGGGGAGCCTTGTTGGCATGGGGTCGCCTTTTTTTTTAATACAACGATATATTTTTACACTAAGGGGAGGGAGAGTTCGCTAAGCCACACAACAGACAGCCTAATTTGGTATTAAATTCGCTATCTACGGGATTCTAACCTAAGACATCTCATTTTCAAGTGAAAAGGAATACCACCCGTAGTACTAAGTGGTGAAAAAAATATACTTTCTAAGTTCGTATACACTCAACTGATACTGCATTATTGAAAACTAATAATAATAAAATTTCTTCACATATATTCCAAGATAGTAAATAATTAATTTACTAACAAGAAACAAGTTAAAAATGAATTATTTATATGATTATTTTCCTGAATTACTGAAAAAGCATATATGAGGGCGCGCCTTAGCGCAACGAAAAGGTTGCTACTTTGTGACCTAAGAGCACATGTTCGAGCCGAAAAAACAGCTTCTTTGCAAAACAAAGGAAGTGATGCGCACCATAGAGGTTCTAAAGCGAAGAGCCTTGACTTGGGTCGCCCTTTACTCAAAAAGCATATATATTTCACACACGTATCATAAATACCAGAAATTATTAAAACCAAAAATCCCTAATTCAGTTATTTAAAAAAAAACACATTCTTTCATACAACCAAACAGCGCCTGCACTAAACCAAACAATTAAATAAATAAAATCAAGGGAAAAACACTGACCAGGGTCGCACTGCTGAAAAAAGTCTTCGACCTCTGCAACCACAAAAAAAAAAAAGGAAGAAAATTTAATCCTTCATCGAATTTCCATAGCTTTTGGAGTAATAGTGGAAAGTTGACGAAGAAAATTGGAGCGAAAAAGTTACCGGTGGTGAGAGCTTTAATCATGCCGGCCCTCCGCCCTTTGAAGTCTCTGAAGACCTCCTCCACCGTGCGCGGGTTGTACGAAGCACCGCCGTCCATTTCTTCACAATTGCGGAGAGATAGAGTAACTGGGAAAAAATGGGAGGGAAAGGTTGGGAAATATTTGACCTCTTTACTCAGAGAGTTTGGGAGGAGAGAGAGTGTGGGCGTGTAGAGAGAGACAGAGAGAGATGCGGATTTGAATCGGAACGAAACGGATTAATAAAGAGGATTTGATAAATGGTAAGAGTCCGTGAGGCTGACAATAACTGACAGGCTCGCATTATTTTGAAAAAAAAATTAAAAATCCCTTGTGCGATTTATTAGTCTTTCAAATCAAGATCTTTGCCACGCTGGCATTGATCGATTACTGTTACGATGGTTTGTGGGTCCCCTACAGACAACAACTCGACCTGGCTTTTAAGATTCAACAAATTCTTGGTGAATGAAGGGAGAAATTTACATAAATCATATTTACTGTCGCGTAATGTTTTAATGTACTAATATAATCTTTATTAATTAATAAAATATTTATTGTTAATTAAAATTCTATGAAATTATTAATTTAACATCACGATAATATAATAATAAACTTATTTCATGTAAAAATCATTTTTCAAGAGTGAGGGTTTGTACCGAGCTGTGCCAATTACTATGGTTATTGCACGACATTTCTCTCTTTTTATTTAAGAAATTTGTAAAACTAATCATTTTTAGAATCGAATGTTTTAATGATTAGTTTTTCGGTTGTCATCTAATTGTTATGAACTTATTCAAACCACAATTTTTTGGAAAGAAAACTTTTCGTTCAATTTTGTTCCGAAACTCTTTAAGATGCAATTTCACAAAATATATGGCAGATCCATTCTTGGACCCAAGTGTTTCTGGGACTACTCAAAAGTCCGATGAAGTGCTTGTGAGGATCTCCAAGGACAACCCAACGGCCTGGACAGGTGGTGGAAGAGAGAGGTCTATCATGGCTATGCAGATGTTGTGTAATAGAAGTTTTGAATTAAAAAGAAAAATCTAATTTCAAATTAAGTCAAACATAGAGAAGGCCACAATAGCTCTGCTATTCTTCAACCTTGGTTCTAACAAAGAATAAATACTCTCTCCCCATTTTCCACGTGAACAACTCCTCATGTTTTTAATTATTATCTAATCAGGTTGTATCACCTAAAATTTTAATCAATAAAGGGATAATGAATTACTCGATCAATACTTTTTATATCATATAATTGACACAATTATTATTTTTTAAATGGAAGCTTCATAAAACCCTAAACCCTAAAATGATTACTTTATAGTCATTAATTTGTAAGGTGCACTTTTAAATTACATTATGATATATATATATATATATATAATCGCTTGGATTTAATGTAATTTTTTTAATACATACGATATTATCTAAACTAAGAAATTGGGAGAATGGACTAAACTTACAATAAACAGGCCATAATAATTTAGGGTTATGGTAGAGAGACTAAATTTGTAGACAAAATTTTGAAAACTAAAAAATATAGAAGTTGATGATTGATTTATTATTTAAACGTTGATAAATGTGCTCATTCATATCGATGACACATCATTTAGTTTGCCAATTTTCTTTCTAAATTTAATCTCTCTAGCACTATCCAATAATTTAGTTTAAATTTGCATTTAATGTACTTTTGAGCTCTTTTGGTTGTATAAAAGCCGATAGTCATTTTAAAAACTTCCTCAAAAGACCCTTAAAATAAACTAATTTGAATAAAAACCATTTTCAAACGCACACTTACATACTTTGAAATCAGTTGAGCATGAAAATGAAGTGAAAACTTTTGCTTAGTTTTTATGTTTTTCCATTTTTTTATTTTTTATACTTTTCAATCTGTTCCAAGCAAAAGTCGCGAAATAATGAACTGTATGGTATAAGAGTTTGAACCCCAGAAATCATGGCTTATGATTAAGATTTCTCGAAACTGAGTTAACTCCCTCATTACTTGATTAATCACTCGATTTCGTTCTCCTACGATCCGAAAACAAAACAAAAGCATGCTCCAGCTTCATGTAGATGGAAAGCATCAGGCAGACCGCAGACGATATAAAAGCATGAGAAATCGCTGTTCTTGATCCTCTAGAGCTTACTTCTTCATGAATCCATCGTGTTCGTAAAAAGCTTAGTTGCCAGTTAGAACCTTCAAGCTGCATTACTAATTTGCTTCACTGTCAAGTGCCTCCTTCCTTCTCCCAGACAAACATAAATGTTCATCTACCACTCTTCTGTAACTATCTACATCAGCCACAGTGCATTTCTTACTCATGTCATCAAATATCCTCTCAGCTTCAACCGCCATCCCTTTTGCGCACAATATCTTGATCAAATTCGAAAATCTCTCCAAACGGAAAATATGTTAAAAGAAAATTAATGAAAAAAACTTGAAAACTTTGAGTTTTAAAGGACAAAATAAAGGGTAAAATAAATAGTACCATAATTGATTTTTTAAGTGTTAAAATGTGGTTTTTTGTTAAAGTGAACAGTACCGAGAGCTTTTCGATAAAGTTTCCAAAATGTTATTGTTATCCAGAGCTCCACAGAAAGTCTGCACTGCCATATTCACATTGCCATCTTCGCAGTAACCCTTAATTATGCAACCGTAGAGGTTGGTACTAAGCTCGTGACCATTCCCAAGCATGTCACAAACAAGCTCTTCAACTTCCCCCATTCTACCTCTCATATCACAAAGACTGCATATCACTGTGTTATACGAAAAGAAATTCGGAAAGCAACCCATTCGACGCATTTCCTTTAGAAGAAAAATAGCTCTTTCAGGTTCCCCATTTTCAACAAGAACTCTGACTACTCTATTAAAGCATGAAACACTCAGCTCTAGGACTCTTATATTCACTTCCTTCAAAAGCTAAATCGCTCCATCTGGTTTCTCAACTTAGAGTACTCATTAAAAATCACCACATATGCCACTTCCGGTTTCATCCCAAGGTTCACTATATCTTTAAGATGTTTAGCAGCGGCATCTGGCCTCCCCTCAATGTAAGGCCCTTTCAAGATAGTCATGTGTGTTACTATATCGTCCTCCACACCATGTAATCTCATCTTTGTCACCATCTCCTTCGCCTCACCAATGTGCCCACTCAAACACAAAGCATGAATCAGAGCATTGCAACTGAACAGATTAGGCTCACAGCCCAGTTTCTCCATTTCACCCATGCACTTCATCACCTTCTCCAACTCGCCTTTCTTGCAATACCCATCAATCAAAGTTGTATAAGTTACCAAATCAGGCAAGCAATCCTTACTCTCCCTCATCCGACCCAAAACTCTCCGTGCACTATCAAAATCACCCTTCCTACAAAACCCGTGAATCATGGTACTATAAGTGATCACATTTGGCTCACAACAATGCTTCTCCATTTCATACATACACTTCATCACCTCCTCCAACTTGCCTTTCTTACAATACCCATCAATCAATATTGTACAAGTTATCCTATCAGGCAAGCAATCCCTACTCTCTGTCATCCGAACCAAAACGCTCCTTGCACTATCAAAATCACCAATCTTAAAAAACCCATGAATCATAGTATTATAAGTAATCACATTTGGCTCACAAATCATTTCATTAAACATCTTCTGGGCATTCTTAATATCACCCTTCTTACACAAACAATGAATCAAAATACTGTAGCTAATCTGATTAGGCTCACAACCCTGCTTCTCCATTTCACTCATGCACTTCATTGCCTCCATCAACTCGCCTTTCTTATAATACCCATCAATCAAAGTTGTATATGTTACCGTATCAGGCAAACAATCCTTATTTTCCCTGATACGACCCGAAACTTGCCTCGCAGTATCAAAATTACAAAACCCATGAATCACAGTATTGTAAGTGATTATATCACGCTTGCAAGTCATTTCATCAAACACCTTCTGGGCACTCTTAGTATCACCCTTGTTAAAAAACCCATGAATCAGAGCATTGTAAGTAAACATATCAGGCTCACAACCCTGCTTCTTCATTTCACTCATGCACTTCATCGCCTCTTCCAACTCGCCTCTCTTTCAGTACCCATCAATCAAAGTTGTATAAGTTACCGTATCGGGCAAGCAATCCTTACTATCCTTCATTCAATCCAAAACGCCTTGCAGTATCCAAATCACCCTTCTTAACCAACCCATGAATCATAGTATTATAAGTAATCATATTCCGGTTGCAAGTCATTTCATCAAACACCTTCTGCGCATAGTTATCACCATTCTTACAAAACCCATGAATCATAGTATTGTAAGTAATTATATCCCGCTTGCAAGTCATTTCATCAAACACCTTCTGCGCATAGTTATCACCATTGTTACAAAACCCATGAATCATAGTATTGTAAGTAATTATATCCCGCTTGCAAGTCATTTCATCAAACACCTTCTGGGCATTCTTAATATCACCCTTGTTAAAAGATCCACGAATCAGAGCATTGTAAGTAAACAAACCAGGCAAACAACCCTGCTTATTCATTTCACTCATGCACTTCATCGCCTCTTCCAACTCGCCTTTCTTACAGTACCCATCAATCAAAGTTGTATAAGTTACCGTACTGGGCAAGCAATCCTTACTATCCTTCATTCGATCCAAAACTCGCCTTGCAGTATACAAATCACCCTTCTTACAAAACCCATGAATCATAGTGTTGTAAGTAACCATATCCTGCTTAGCAAGTCATTTCATCAAACACCTTCCAAGCATTCTCAACATCACACTTTTGACAAAATCCATGAATCATAGTATTGTTAGTAATAAGATTCGGCTTGCAAGTCATTTCATCAAACACCTTTTGGGCATTCGTAGTATCACCCTGTTACAAAACCCATGAATCAAAGCATTGTAAGTAAACAGATTAGGCTCACAGGTCATTTTATCAAACACCTTCTGTGCATTCTCCATTTCACCCATTTTGCAAAACCCTCTGATCATTATCGTACAGGTAAAAACATCCGGCTTCACCAGAGCTTCCTTCACAAGCTGATCATGTATTTCCTTACCTAAACTCATCCTGTCTGCCCTAATCAGACATGATCAACTTCGCCTTGTGAAACCAATCCATGGCGCTCCGATAACCCCTCGTCTGCCATGAACCACGATAAACCCGCTGAGCAAGAAATCATCGAGTCTATTGGATTCTTGAAGGAGAGAGGCAGCGGTAGAGAAGAGAGAGTGGGAGATGAGGAGGTCAGCGATCGCCAAGTAGCAATGGCGAGTGTGGGAACAATAGTTGGGATTAGGGTTAGGGTTTGAGGCCCAGTTGATGAAGAAGAAGGCATGGTGAGGGTTGGCCTGAGCTTTGATCACGTTGATTACAAGGCTTGGTTTCAGGAGCGGCGAGAACTGGTGTAGCCACTGATTTCCACATTGTCTCCAATTTGGGGAAACATATAATTACTTTTGGCATTTCCGCATCAATATTATTAGGAAATTATATCAGGTGCTTATATTTTAACCTAATTGGAATAATGGTTTTCAACTAAAAATGTATGACATTGATTTTTTAACTCATCAAAACGTGTAGTTATGATTTTTTTTCGTCAACTCCATTAGAACTTCTGTCAAAATGAGTCACGTGCGTGGCATGTGCAGGTGAATCAAGGGGCAAATACAGAAAACCAAATGAGAAAAATTATGGCAATAGTCCCTCAACTTTAACTTAATTGGAGCAATGGTTCCTCAATTTTAACCTAATTATAGCAATGGTCTTTCAAATATGACTCGTTTTGACAAAATTCTGACATAGTTGATGAAATTAACCATAACTACACGTTTTGATAAGCTAAGGGACCAACGGTCATGTACTTTTACTCGATGAACCATTGTTACAATTTGTTGTAAGAGAAGAGGACCTCTTTCTTTAAAATGCCAATCACGCCTTTATTTGCCCTATTTTACCCTTGCTTCCACCAAACAATATTTACGTAGTGTATAGAGGCACCAACTCCCTCTCCCCACCTACTTCTTGCTTTTCTGTTACACATGTGGATTTGGTGATAGGAAATTGAATCATACAATTTTTGCTTCTTTCTTTGTTCAATAACTTGGAAAATTGTAATTTCTTAAGGATATTCTTTATGTGATTGTAACGTGACAAGAAAAAAAACCATAGTTAAATTTATGTCCGCCGGAGTGTAGCGACACCAACAGCTTGGGGAGCAATTTGAAGTAAAGCGTTAGACCAGGCCATGGGGTGGAGTTGAACTCTTTCAATGTGGTCAATCGCCGCCACAAGGGCGTCTACCGAAAGCAAAAGCAGGTATGAGCTTCACGTCGAAGGAAAAATAAACCAAAACCTGCGGTCAAGAGATAGATGTCCGATAAGGGATGTATGAAATGAAGAGAGGAGCCGTGGTGGTCTGATCCGAGGCACATAAAAGCATGTCAAATCGATGTTTTTGATTCTGAAAGAGTGTACTTGTACATGGCTGATGGCTCCATCTAATTCATCATAGCCAAAATGCCAATTAGAACCTTGAACCTTTGATTGCTGGTTGTTTTACTACCAAGTATCCTCAGTTATCTCCCTAAAATGCTCATCTAGCACCCTTCTGTAACTATCTACATCAGCCACGGTGCATCTCTTATGCATATCGTCAAATACCCTCTCAGCCTCAACGACCATCCCTTTCGCACATAACACCTTAACGAAAACCGAAAAGCTCTCCAAACTAATAATGTATTTAGCATCCAGTGCTGCACAGAAAGCCTGCATTGCCATTTTCACATTGCCATCCTCACAATAACCCTTAATCACACGACTGTAGAGGGCGGTATCAAGCTCATGACCATTCTGAAGCATGCCATGAACAAGCTCCTCAACTACCCCCATTCTACCTCTCATATCACAAAGACTACTTATCACTGTGTTATACGAAAAGAAATTTGGAGAGCAACCCATTTGTGGCATCTGCTTCAGAAGAACAATGGCTCTTTCCGGGTCCATGTTTTCTACAAGAACGGTTAGCAGTCTATTGAAGTTTGAAACACCTGGCTCTAGGCCTCTCATCCTCATTTCCCTCAAAAAGGAAACAGCTCCATCCGCTTTTCTCATCTTACAGTACTCATTAAAAACGATCCCGTATGCTGCCACATCCGGTTTCATCCCAAGGCTCACTATATCTTTAAGATGTTTAGCAGCATCGTCAGGCCTCCCTGCAATGCAAAGCCCTTTCAAGATAGCCGTATGTGTTGCTATGTCGTCCTTCACACCATTTAACCTCATCTTTGTCACCATCCTCTTTGCCTCACCAACATTCCCACTCAAACACAAACCATGAATTAAAGCATTGTAAGTAAATAGATTAGGCTCACAACCCTGCTTCTCCATTTCACTCATACACTTCATCGCCTCCTCCAACTTGCCTTTCTTACAATACCCATCAATCAAAGTTGTATAAGTTACCGTACCAGGCAAGCAATATTTACTCTCCCTCATCCGACCCAAAACTCGCACTGCACTATTGAAATCACCCGTCTTACAAAACCCGTGAATTATAGTATTGTAAGTAATCACATTCGGCTCACAAGTCATTTCATCAAACACCTTCCGGGCATTCTCAATTTCACCCCTTTTGCAGAACCCCCTGATCATTATCGTAGAAGTCGAAACATCCGGCTTCACCAAACCTTCCTTCACAATCTGATCATAAATTGCCTTGGCTAAACTCATCCTGTTAGCCCTAACAAGCACGCCCAAAATCGCATTGTACGAAAACAAGCATTTCCCACTCTCAATCATCTTTGCCCTGTGAAACCAATCCATGGCAGCTCTGATATCACCCCGCCCACCGTGAGCGGTGATGAACCTGCCGAGCAAGAAATCATAGAGTCTGTTGGATTCTACAAGTAGTGAGGCGGCGGTGGAGAAGAGAGAGTGGGAGAGGAGGAGGTCGGTGATGGCCAAGTAGCAATTGTGAGTGTGGGAGTACTTGTTGGGATTAGGGTTGGGATTTGAGGCCCAGTTGAAGAAGAAGAGGGCATGATAAGGATTGGTCTGAGATTTGATGACTTGGGTAACAAGTCTCGGGTTCAGGTGAGGTGAAAACTGGTTAAGAGGGGCTGAGCTGACATTTGAGGGGTTGGGTTTTTGGGGATTTAGGGTTTGCAGAAGGTAGGTTATGGAGGTTAAGAGAGAGAAATTTGGAGATGTTTGAGATGGGTTGATTAGGGTTCTTGCTGGCGTAGCCATTGATTTCCCGAGGACCCTTCTTCCAGCAGAAGATGACGGTGACTTGGTGTGTTTCTAATTTGATATAAGCACTTTTCAAGAAGCCAGAAACGTTATACACAAACATAGCAATTTTAGACCAATAGAAGGTGTGGTAATTTTTAAGAGCCAAATTTGTCATTCAATATGTCACTCACTGAGTCTGAGCGATGATGTTAACGGGTGTTCGTATTAAGTATATGTTGTATTGTGATTGACTTAAACACTTGATTTGAAATATAATTTTGACAAAAAGACAATTTTACATAATAATTAGTATAGATGTACTTTTAAACACACTCTTACATACATAAATTGCAGTTTTACTGAGTATTACCATTGTTTTTAGTCTCAAATGTTTCACTTTTACGAAACTTATGAAGTTCATTCTATAAAAGTACTTTCAAAATACGTCGTTGCGTTCTTAAATTTTTGATAAAACAAATATTCTAAATTGCTTCAATTTATAAAGAAAAAAATTCAAATTCAAGGGAAAGAGCACATTGTTGTTGTTGTTTTTTTATATTTTATTTTATACAAACTCAATCAACTAAAGATATTGAAATACACAAACATTTAGCATTCTTTGGGTTCAAACCCAGCGATGCTCCACATGTTACATTTTATGATGTTGGTGATCATATTCATACTCACTAGTGCAAAGCCTTCCCTTTTGTGATGATTTGATTGTCAGTAGCTGCAACTAGCAAACTCACACGATCACATTGTTCTTGGGGGACAGCATCCGCTCGGCGGCCGGAGCGTAGCAACACCAATAGATTTCGGAGCAACTCGAAGCAAATGGTTAGACCAGGCCATTAGGTGGAACTGAACTCTGTCCATCTGATCGATCGCCGAGTGAAGAGTCTCTTTAATTTCGGTGTGATCACAGCAATGTATGAGCCCGGCGGAGCTGACATATGAAGGCATCAAGCTCTTGCCTTCTAACCTGGATATGACAAGCTGGTAACCACTTGCATATGCTTCCTCATGAAGGCTTCTAAGCCCTGATCGATCCGCGGGCGAACCTTTTGCTACCGAGTGTATGCAAATCAATCCCTACATTTATTTTTAGAGCATAAAATTTGAGAACCAGTGCCTGTACATTAAACTTGTACGTATGTCACATGTGTTTGTATGGCAGAATTTCTCCTTACCTCTTCGGTTCGTTTGATGTCCAATCCAAACCGTGCTTCGCCAGGTTCAGGTATCAATTCGATCAACAGTTCTGCAACTCCGGGCATAAACCAAAGCCTTATGCCCTGCGCAATTTGGACCGTCGTTGTATGGTTTTGTTGTTGCTTGTTCCAATTGATTTCCTTTCCTAGTAAATTATTTTTATCCTTCACGTAATAAGAAAAGGGAAATTAATCGAACCGCTTAATAACTGGTTACTAGCTAGAAATTCAGCATGAGTTACAAGAGAGACTGAGATTATACCGACGACACAATCTGTTCGGTTTGGATGTTAACAAAAATAAGCGGGGCTCCAGAAGCAATTGCAGCAGAAAACCAAGCCATGCACCGGGCAGTTGTGGCCTCCGTGCAGTACTCGCCTGGCAGCGGCATGAACAGAATGGAGCTAATGATCGTGCACCGTTGGTCGGGCAAGTGGCTGTCGACTTTCATCTTCCAGTCATATTTAACTCCCTTTTTGTTGTATCCCCTGTATTCCACGTTCACCAAACTCCTGCTCATTTCTGCAAAATCACATAAACAGCAATGAACGAAGGTCGTTGCATCAAAATTTTCGTAACTCATGAATGAATGTACGATCTTTATTCAAACAATGTGACATGTTATGTTATCAGACTGCGAATCAAAACTGTTGATTTAGATTATGTGGAATGAAAGCATAATATGCAGTCTTGGTTCATAGTATGACAGCGTGACATGTTTTATGAGACTTAATAATAATCGCTAATCAACGGCAAGACAACATATCATGTCAGATATCTTATAAGTGATCGTCACTAAATTCAGTACCAACATGGACCGGAAGCCGGCGAAGAAAAACGTACCTTGCAGCTCAGTGCATTGATCCGAGGTCAAGTCCCCCAAAACTGCAACATGTCTATCATCCGTAGCCGCTTTGATCGTATACTTTTTGTGAAGCATCGAAAGCCTCTCAGCCACGATGCCCGTCCGGAGCTTGAGAGTGCTATCACCCCTCCTCACCTTCACCCAAATGACCTCCACATTGCTAAACTTAGCGAGCAGCGACGTCAGCTCTGCCTTGGCTTTCGTAGGCACGAAAAGCTCGTCACCAATATTGTCACGGCTCTCGGAATAATAAACCCCTTCAATGATGTCCCCGGGCAATGGCATGCTCTCGTCCCACTCTTCCGACGCCTCTTGCTTCACTTGCTTCACGCAAACCAGCGTCGTTGTAACAGCGGCCATATTTTTCCTCTTCAGAGTGCAGAAGCTGCTTCCCATTATCTTGTCGATCGAATTCGACGAAGACATACTTCGTGGAGATCCTAGGAATCTCCATCCATGTTCGAACACTCCAACGTTAATTTTCGGTTACTTCGCCGTACTCTCGGTGAGGAACATTGTCATCCTTCTGAGGGCGTATTTATATTATTATATAGTGCTGCTATCTAGAAATCCGGCTGGCAATTTTACGAGAGATTTTTCAGACTGGTACACGAGGTGGTACACCCATGTGTTACTATACAAATGGTGGGATATGTGTGCTAAAAAGTTAATAACTTAAAAAATAAAATTTCCTACCACTTCTATGAAAACATGTGGTGTACCACCTGTATTTCCGTCACAATGAAAAATTTCTCCAATTTTACATGGGATTTTATGTGAAAAATTTAATTAGGAACCCATAAATTAAGAGCAAACACAAAATTTAGTATAATAATCCGTAATTAAAGTCAAACATCCTGTACATGTTACTTTCAATTTCTCAAGATATTAATCACATTCCCTCGTTAAAAAATAAATATGAAAATGCTATCTAGAAAACAACAGAAATAATTGACCGGACTACTCTCGAATACAAAATTGGGTGACGACATACGAAATAGGTCATCCGTGAGGCACCCCTCACAAAAAAACGTCGAACTCTTTGTACTTTAGTCTCATCTAACTCCACGATGACCCAAAATTGGGGTGAGAAGATATGTACTTTATACCCACTATGGGACAAGTTCAGCCATTTCTCTTTCAAGCCTAGAGATTTCAGCTTCAGCATGAACCCTCGTGTTTGCATCGTCGGACTCTAAACTCGGTGTCAACCTAGAAATCTGCCTGTTGATGCTTCGAATCTGCGTGTTTGATCAAAAAAAATGAAAGGGTAAGGAAAAATAAACACATAAATTAGAAATAATTCTATGAAGAAGTTTATAGAGGAGGACAAACCTTTCTAGAGGGCCATCTGTTTAATCCGTTTCGGCGGCATATCCTTTTCACAACGGTTGGGCAAACCTTCAATCTCCTAGCAGCTTTTTGAATCGGAAGATGGAAGTAACCGCGAAGATCGTCCAACGTCATGTTTGCTGTTCTCTCCCTCTGCACTACTTCCACATCATTACCCAAACAAACATGTTAAAAAAAATGTAGTTATAGCTTATCATCTTATTGTAGCTAAATGTACTTAGAGAAGTAAATTAGTGACACATATTAAGATAAATTTAGATAATTTAAGAGATTTTGGATTGAGAGAAAAGTTAACAACAACCTGCGCTGCAAGGGAAATCCTCTCGTTCTCATCCTCAGCCGCCTCTAGTTGATCAGCAGCGGGTTGTTGTTGTTCCGCTTCACCGGCTCTTCCTGAAATTGACAAAAAAAAAACACTCAAGTAGCCAACATTATATGAAGATTAAACTTTCCGAATGATAGAAGTTTGCAGGGAAAATCAAACACACGAACCTGAATTTGGAGGAGATGGTGGGAAAGTGAAGTCATCGGTGTTTAGAATGTCATCCCACTCGAGTCCAACGCAGAGGGCCTCGTAGAAGATTGCCATTGGATCTTGCTGCATAATGTATCCCTCTAGCTTTCTCTCTAGGCAGTACTGCATCAGAAATTGCTTCACCTCCTCTATGCTTTTCTTGCAAAAACTAAGTTCCAAAACGAAAAAATATGTTTAGTCTTTTTGTTCATGTTTAAACGGATCACACCCTCGCGAATGAGATGGAACGAAACAAACCGGATCGAAAAAACTTACTCAAACATTTGATACTGATGATTGTCGGAAGAATTCACATCGAAACTCTGGAGAATTGCATGACTGATCATGCCGAACCTTCCATGAATGTCAAATTTCATAACGTGGTTGCCTTTCCACACAAGATGAAAATAAAATCAATACCCTTATCAACACTTGAACCGAAAAGTACCTACTAAACCGATACTAATTACACAAAAAATCAACTTAAAACTTACCATTTAAGTGTATGATTTCCCTAAGCAGTTGGCAACAACTGCAGTTAAATGGAACTGGTATCGCAGGCCAAACCGAAAGCGGCATCGGATCACCAAAACCCTGATTCTGCTCATTGTTGTCCCCTCTGGGAGGACTAGTACCGCTCGATTCTCCGATAATCTGCGAGGGACCGGATTGCGAATCAACGTTCCCTCCACCATTACTACACTGATTGAGGAAATCCCATGTTGCTTGATCCAACAAAGGGTCGTCCAAATCTTGGATTCCCTCATCAAACAGAGAAATTGGATTAGTAGGGCAAGTGTGTCCCTCACCGTCCAACGGCGGTAATGGTACGTTCTCATCGAGGATCGCGTGTTCGGAATCATACAGAAAGTTCATAATGTCGGAACACAGGCCATTTTCGTAGGGGTCATGGTACGGTACAACAGCCCTAGGATCTGCCATGCATAAAAAAAATTGTATCTATGTACAGAAACTGTTCAATTCTCTGAAGTTTCAATGCAAAATCTTTCTTTTGATATTTTTTTTTCCTTTATTTTGTTTGATTTTGCAAGTTTCGCCTAGACAGAACGCGAATTGAACGGTCTCGAGCACCAGAAATTTTTGGTGCTCGAGAGAACTTGGAACAGGTTTTTTGTTTGAATTGGAAGTGAAAGCTTTGAAAGGGTGCAAAGAAATAGTGGAACAAGACGCGAGTGACAGTTAATTACCATTTGGACAAGAGTCGGTTGGGAGTTTTGAAAGGTGTTCAGGTTCTCATCCTGTGCTGTGTTCCATCGTAAGGATCTTATTCATTTTTTCCAAGAGAGTTTTAACGAAACATTCTCATACTGTTCACTTTTAATGAAATGATATTTTTACTTTAAAAAGTCATTCTTGGTACTATTCACTTACAACATCTTTTTGTTATTTTTGCAGTGCAATTCGCGATATCACACGGTAACCTTTTTTGCGATGATTTATTATTTTTATTCTATTAATATTTGACTTTTCTGTTGATTTTTTTGGAATCGAAGCTACATTAGAGTGCACAGTCATCATTGTTTTTTGTCACTGCAACAAAATGCTCGTTTAAATTTGAGTTTGTATTTTCATTTTATGTATATCATGAATAATTTAAAATAGGGTGATGCTAGGGATACTAAATTTAGAAACAAAATTTGTAAACTAAAGAATGTGTCATCAATAAGAATAAACATGTTTATCAACGTTTAAGTAATAAACCAATCATCAACTTCTATGTTCTTTAGTTTCCAAAATTTTATCTCCTTAGCATTACCCTTTAAAATATCATACTGTCAAAAAAGATAAGTGATCGGTGAATAAAATCGACATTCAGGTATCGTTTGGTATGCAGACGGGACGGGACGAAACGGGATGGGACGGGACGGGACGGGACAGGACGGAACGGAACGGAGCGGGAGCAAAGATGCCCTCGGATGGAAACAAGGAGGAAGAAGAAGGAAACGGAGTGGTTATAATTTTGTGTTCCACGAATGTGGAACGAGTCGTTCCAGGAGGGTGAGGTGGAACGAAAATTCACCCAAAACTCGTCCCGTGGAACAGCTCGTTCCACCCGTTTTAGGCGCACCAAACGTGGGACGGAACGCCTTGTCCCACTCTGTTCCGTCCCGTCCCATGTACCAAACAGTTGAATCAGAACGAAATTTAGATCTTAAATTCAGCATTGTAATATATATATATCACCAACACTAGATCAAAAATTAATTAGTCACTAACTTTGATAAATAAATGTTTGCTAAGAGATTTCTTCGTTCCAATAAATTGATCGATGAATTTCGAAAATAGGTCTAGATGTTCTTTAATTTAAACTCACGGAAAAAGCTATCTTTTACGGTTCGGTGCATTCAAAAATTTCATTACAGTAAAAATGAACGTGCTAGGTTAAGTTGAAAAATGCATCCCCATATTTATTTTTACTTCTTATATATCATTTGTTAATTTTTATATTTTATTATTTTAATTTATTTGATCCAACGATCGAAAATGCGTGAGAGAACAACAATGTTAATTAGTCACACAAGGGTGAAAAGGGAAGGAAAACAACGTTTTAATCCCCAAAAGCAAAAAAATCCAAGTCCGTAGAAATTTGGTGCTTTGAGAGAAAATGAAAGCAGCACTATCAACACTAATCAGCTCCAAGAATCTCAACCCTCACTCCTCCTCCTCCTCCTCCTCCTCTCTCTGCCGCTCCATTTGCCTCCGCCCGAAGCCTCTCTCCCCTCCGCCGTATTTCCTCTCTCCAATCGCACCCTCCAAAGCCCTCACCACCAACATCCGCATCGGTCTCAGCCGCAAGTCCCAGACCCGCTCTGCAAATTTCTCGTCGGTAATGGCGTCGGTTTACAAGCCCGAAGAAGCCAGGGTCCCGCCTGCCCTTCCCCTGCCCACTCCTCCCGTCACCAAGGCAAGCTTTCTCTTTAATCTCCGTGTGTATCCGGTGATTTCGTTGTGAATTTTTGGAGTTTTGAGGTTGAACTTGAATTGGGTTTTTTTGTGCAGTTTAAAATTGGGTTGTGTCAGTTGTCTGTGACGCCGGATAAGGAGAGGAACATTTCCCATGCTCGCAAGGCCATCGAGGACGCCGCCGCAAAGGGTGCCCAGCTTGTTCTTTTACCTGTGAGTTTAACAGTTTTACTTCCTCACTCTGTTTGTTTTGGGGACATTCATGTTGGCATGCTGATTAAGCTTGCTGGCTCAAGTTAATTATTGGTTTATTAGGCTCCAATTGTTTGTTAAGTGTATCAATATATGTTCGGTAATTTGGAAACTGCATTTCTTAGCTAATCGAAGTTTAGATGCCCATAAGAATAGTGTAGTTTGGAGTCTGCATAGTTCTTTCGAGTAACCAAAAGGTTAGTGCTTTATTGGGTTTGCTCACTTTCACCTGCTAAGTATATATTCACCATCAAAGTGGGGGGTTGTATCGGAACAAATTTATGTTGCATAAGACGAGATGGCTACAATTTATAAACTCAAATTTTAAGAAATGTTAAGATTTTGGCATTAAGTTGTGTTTGATGCTTTGTATTTCAGGAAATTTGGAATGGTCCATATTCAAATGATAGCTTCCCGGTTTATGCTGAGGACATTGATGCAGGCGGCGATGCATCTCCTTCAACAGCCATGCTGTCTGAAGTTGCTCAACGTTTGAAGATCACCATTGTTGGTGGATCTATAGCGGAGCGTTCTGGGGATCGGTTGTACAATACTTCTTGTGTCTTTGGCACCGATGGAAAGCTGTTGGCTAAACACAGGAAGGTAATGCTCTAAGCTTTAACATGAAGGGGGCACTTACAATATCAAGTTCAAGTCGCAAGATATTTTCTTCGTATGGTTATATGTCTATGAAAAATTGCTCTTTCCACTTGCTTTAGGAATGTATGGACTTGATGTTTTTGAACATATAATGATTACCTTTCAAGGGAAATTATATGTCTTAGTCTTTGTTTCTTACGGTTTTAGTAACAAAGATCATGGCATATGGTCACAGATACACCTATTTGATATTGACATCCCGGGGAAGATTACCTTCATTGAATCAAAGACTCTCACAGCAGGGCAGACTCCTACCATTGTGGATACAGGTTTGAGGTTCATTCTTTGCAGTAGTTTTGTTCATTGGTTCTTTTCTTCACACAGCACCTATTCCTTTGGTGAAAGAAGTTAGTTCATTAATTATTGATGGGATAGTAAACATCAATTGGTTTTTGCAGAAGTTGGACGTATTGGCATTGGTATCTGTTATGACATTAGGTTTCCGGAACTAGCAATGATTTATGGAGCAAGAGGTTAGCCGTTTCTTTTTCTTTCCATGGACGTGAAATTGTTTCCACTTTCTGGGCATTGCTAAACTGATAAAATTAAGGGCTATTCTTTCTGTAGTCAGTACACCTAATCCTTTGAAATCTGCCACAGGATTCTTCTTTGCAGTTCAATTATTCTGCTTGTTGTTAAAAAGGAATTGGAATTATTTCTCCTTTGTTTAGTCCTTTCCAAGTGAAGGACTTCTATGATTGGAAATACCGAATGCTAACAGTAATAAGTTGCTGACATCAGGTACTCACTTGATATGCTATCCTGGGGCTTTTAACATGACGACTGGACCGTTGCACTGGGAATTATTGCAGAGGGCAAGGTATTAGTTATATTATTCCCTATTTCACATTCCTTAGAATAATTTTTTTACGATATGTTAAATCAATTTGTAGTTTTTTATGTAGTCATTCTCTCTGAGATTTGCCTTGCTATATCTTGTGCAGGGCTACAGATAACCAGGTACGGTAACATATGTCCTATATGGCTATATGGGATGCACATCATGGGTTACGTTTGCAAATAAAACTTGGAGTTAGTACAATGATAGGAATTTTTGATAGATTAGATGAAAAGAACCACAGTCAAGTCCCTACTTTGTGACAATTATGCCTTGATGATCCTCCATATTAACTCTAACAACTTCTCATGGGTGATTTTCTGTGGGTTGTCAGCTATATGTAGCAACTTGTTCCCCTGCTCGGGATGCTGGAGCCGGTTATGTGGCATGGGGCCACTCCACCCTTGTTGGACCAGTAAGTGGATACGTAAATTTAGCTTTATGATGCGTAGTTCCATTTGATCTTTGCTCGACCCATTCACCAGAAAGTTGACGCATACTGCACATCTCCTATGCTCCATTTACTTGTTTAAAGTTACCCCCTTTCTACGTTTTAGTAATAGAACAAGTGTCTGAGTCTGCATTTTCGTGCCTGTTTAAGTGTTTTGGATGGCAAGTTATTTGTAGATGAATCTTTTTTATGAATCTGACTAAAAGAATCAAATGTGGTAGTTTGGAGAAGTACTGGCAACGACAGAACATGAAGAGGCAATAATCATAGCAGAGATTGATTATTCAATTCTTGAGCTTAGAAGGTGATGTGGTTTCCAACCTATAGTCTTCGTTTTCCAATGCATGAATGTTTATAGATTTACCGATGAAATATTTCCCGTTACTTTATTATTAAAACAGGTCTGTTTTGAATTATTCAGGACAAACCTTCCCTTACTGAAGCAAAGACGAGGCGATCTTTACCAGTTGGTAGATGTTCAGAGGTTAAATCCTCAATGATTGCAAATGGGTAGAAGATCCCTCTTATGCCTCTAGGAAGGAAAGTGGCGGGGACAAATTGCATTTCTTAGTGCGAATAATGAGGGCCTGTTGTTATCATCGAAAACCCGAATTATTGTGTGTATTTAGTAACAAGGGAAAGCGAACCCTTGACAACGCATGTTGTGAACATAAACCAGACTGGAGCTTATCAAATCTCGGTTTCAGATTGTTGTGAACCAGAGTTGGAAAACTCGTTAATCTGTCTGTGGGCTTAATGCTGTAGGATTGCGAAAAATCAGTTGGATTGGGCCGAGGCTGATACATTCTACATCCAATGTTGGACCGATGGATTTCTACCAACATTGGTAAGATAAGTTTCACGAGAACAAGAGCTAGTTGATACAATACGATGCAGTATGGTCCGTCTCACAATTATACAACAGCGTTTACCGTATAAGAAAGAATTCCATCATCCATCGCAGTCTCGTAAAAGAGATACGACAAACCCAGCAAAGAAGAATTTTCATGTCGAAGCTTGAAACTGATGTCTTCTTTGTGTTTGGTTGAAAGGCAGGGGAGTTGAGATTTTCAGCGACATGGTAAACAGAGATGTCCTGTCAGAATATTGGAAGGTGGAGGACTGTAGGACCCCTACAAAAGTATTGGGCCCTGGAATTGATTTGTCAGGGACAATTTTTAAAAGGCCATAAATAATAATAGGCCCATCAAAGTGGAGCAGAATGATGTATGCAACTCTGCAAGTGAAGACGGAGACAACGAGAAAGCGAGAGCGACTCCTTTAATTGCTTTTGTAAGAAATATTTATGCTCGGAAAATGCTACGGAAACTATCTTTTTAACATTTTCAAAAACGCTTATGAGAACATTGAGAATAAATGTTTTCTAGAGAAGCAATTACAAAATGACCTAATAGATTAGTTTGCACTATTTGACCTAAAAACACTTTTAACTAATAGAATCAAAAGTGCTTTTGGTTTACAAATTACATTTTTAACTCTTACTCTTACAAAAACACTCTCTAAAAGATCCTCATATGAAACCGGATACGGATATGTCAAGGTGGTGGTGTGATAAACCCTATATTGTGTCACATATTTTAATTTTCTCATTGTTGTTGCATATATAATTAGTTTATCACACTGTTACCCTAGCATCTCCGCTTTTGTCTAAGTTCTCCAAGAAAGCAGCCACGTTATACAAGAGCAAGTGGGTGCACTGCGTCAGCCCTAGTCATCACTCATCCACTCTCTCTCCTCACCCAGACATAAATCTGAGAGAGAATAGAGAAAGAGAGAAAGAAACTTGCCTGGTCAGGAAACTTAGAGAGGAAAACAAAACAAAACCCTAGGCAGCAGCAAGGAAGTAAAATATGCTGCCACTGCATGCTTTGTTGGGAAGGGAGAGAAAACAAAGAGCAACTCAGCAAAGTTTCTCTCTTTGTTCATTATTCACTTCCTCTTCGGGATCTCCCCTCAACTGCTGCACATCTCTTTCACAATATCAGTGCATGTTTGGCGTGATCGGGATAAAGTCGCTTCCAATTTACCCAAATTATCAGACCAGAAAACAAAAGCATATATTACTTGCCCAAATAAGAATAAAGTCGCTTCTTCCTCATTCACAGAAGCACCTTCAAAGCGATAACGTTGGACAGAGAGAATCGAACTGATGACTTTAGGTGTAAACGCACTTAATTAACCGTTCGAACTACAAACTCCTAGCATTTCGCCTCATCTGTATTTTGCTTGTTCTTGTAATTACATGAGTAACTTTCGTCTATTGCAAAGATATTGTGCTCATAATCTATCGAGTATAAATTACAAGTTGAACTCAACTTTTGTGAGAACTTAAAACCATCCATAGAGTAGAGGCATGGACCGAGTCAACGAATGCCCACTGGGGGTAGATGCCCCTAGTGAAGTAATTTGTTTATTAAGCTGCAAATCAGTAGTTATATCTACACACGTTATATTTGAAGAAAATATATGTAGTCAATATCAAGCATACACGTTATAATTAAAACCCTAGATCGAGACTCATACCAACGACCTACTTAGGATATTTAATTATCTTCTCCATTCCAAAGTGAACATAATGCAATCCAATTCTAATCACCAAACGTTGGACTGGGGATTAGGGTAAAATGTTTATACACGTGTGGTCAGAGAGATAAGTTGAATAAGACGTGCGCTTTGAGCCTCCCTTTAAAATTAGGCCTCATATTTTCTTCACACTCTTATTATATATCTTACAATTTAATTTTATCATTCTTTTGTATTCTTAATTTAAAAATAAGGAGAAAAAAAATGTCTTAATCTCACATATCTAATTTGATGTACCTCAAATTCTTGTTTATATATGTGAAAAAATCATATTAAGATACTAAATTAGAAAGCCTCATTTCATTTTCATCTTGAGTCTCAATTTGTATTGGCACCCATCAAAGATAGAGACTCACGAGCCTAGACACGTGGCAAGGACAATTGCTTAATTAGGTGGTCTGCTTCTAAACAGGGAAAGATTTTTCAATGTGCTTGAAACACGAGAGATTCTTCAGTGTCCGGAGTACGGAATAATACACCACGTGTAACTATACAAGTGGTGAGATACTTATGTTAAAAAATTAACAACTTAAAAAAAAAAATTAAACTTCCCTCCATTTATCTAATGACACATGGTGTACCACCCATGTTTCAAGTACAATGAAAATTTCTCGTGGAACACAAGATAGTACACCACATGTCACTATACAAATGGTAAGATAATTGTGTTATAGCAAACTGACACATCCTGACTCTAATAACACAAGTTACGAGGCCGGAATGTTCTGACCATCACTAAATTGACCATATAACCCCCTCAAGAGATGACGTTACAATCCAACTTAATAGCAAAGTCAATGTAAGATAATTATGATGTGAGAGAATTTGAACCAAATACTTTCATTTATATTAAAATAATAGCTGCTACAAAGTCTCATAATCAACCTCTCCACTTGGGGACACAAGTATTGGAAATAAGATCCTATTATTATCATATTACATCAGAGCAGTTAAAAGTTTCACACAACAGTAAACACATAAAAATGTAATGCTATACATAATCGCATGTAAAATTAACAACTTCAAAAATAAAACTTTTCATCACTTATATAATAACTCGTAGTAAACCACCAATTTTACAAATACAATGAAAAATTTATCCTAATCAAGGAAACTACACTAGCGTGCATGACGTATGCGTGTGAGGAAAGCCAAAGACAAAAGAGTGCTCCATGTGTTTATCAAAATAAGAGCGCCCCATGTTCGCACGTGTAAAAGGGCGAGAGCATATAAAATGGTCCCCACAACACACCCAATGAGTAGGGTCATGTCCACACGAGTTACGCGTGATGCTCGAATCTGACCGTCCATTATTGGCGACGGTGTAAATTTGCGTCGGAAAACTGGAACGTCAGTGGCCCCACCAATGGTATCACAGTCCGTACTGCATAGCTGTACTAAAAATAGAAAATGTTTTATTGCTCTCTTTATGTTGGCAAAACGGCAAAATTTGGACGGTATTGTGGGTAACTTTTTGCTCAAATACCTAGTTCAATTTAGTATCGTAACGTAAACACGTATGTGCATACGAATTACGTAAAATTTAAAATCTGATAATAGAACGTTGCTCTGGATATTGATGTGCTTAATATATGCTTCGTACCATTATTTGATGGATCACGCCCACTAATCCACATACATGTAACGGTTGAAAATGTTAATTGATTTTGAAATTATATATCCACAATTTCAAGAAGAAATTTTTTTTTTTAAAAGGAGTCAGTTCGTAGTTTTGTCATGGTAGTTCACTCTTTATAGATGGAGAAGACTCATAGAGGCATTTCAGCCTCTTTCTGATCACCATTGTGTGATTCACCGGTACTAAAAATCAAACTAAGAATATTCCGTGTGGAATACGAGCATGAAACTCATCTTCGTAAATCTAACTCAAATGAGCTTATTGGGTGGGCGAGAATCATTACATGAATTGATTCAATTGAATACAAACTTGGAAATTATGCATAACAAAGAAGCAGCTTGGAAATTATGCAAAAGAATTAAAGTTGTAGGTCTCACTTTAAAGACGCATTCAATCAAGTTCAGGGACGGTGCCCCGATAGCAATATTTTTCCCAGCTTAATGCGTTGGTTCGAATCGTTTGATCAAAGTTTCAAACATAGGCCTACGTATTTAATTTCTCTAGCACTACAATTTAGTAGTATTTTCATCTACTAACATGTAAACATTTTAAGTTCGATGTCTGTGGATGACGAATTCAATTTATAAATTATTATTATAGATGGTTTATTATGTGGTATAACTCAAATCTCTCATCCTGTCATGGTAGACGTTATTTCGATCCTCACAAGGCGGATAATTTTGTTGGTTTGGGGTCGCAATTTTTATATTCAAATGTGTGTGTAAATATTCTCTCCAGATCCATGACCATTAGATCGTGAAAGTATATAAGATCATTGTCTAATTGTTGGGTGGAAGCCAGCTTACAATGTATTCATATTATAAACCCTAACCCAAATGGCTGGGATACTGTTTGAAACCCGATTAAGAGACCAAAGCAAAGACCTTTCTGTGTCACACTACTTTATATCATATGGTTAGGGTGCATAAAGGGGTATGGATGTTGCAGGCATCATAGCATATGTCACTGGATGGATGAACATGAATAAACAAAAATGGCAAAAACATGTGATCCTGGGTGGGGATTCGGGGGCAGATCCTTCGTTTCCCATGCAGTACAAGGCATTTGGTGGGGTTTGTTTAGATCTTGATATGTAACTCCAAAGCCATCCTTTTCAGCTTAGTTAATGGTTTTGTTTGTTTTATCAACTAGGAAGGAAGAATATAAGGAGTATATACACTTGCATAAGATAACCCAAGCTAGCTTAGTTAACTGCTTAATTCCTAGTTCATACAATGTGGACATGGTTATTTGGTATTGGTTATTGTCAATGGTTTCTGGGTAGGGTTTAATCCATTAAATGCACCAATAATCAGTGATTTTTTAGTGTAACCGTCAACCTATCATGTAACGCTTAACTCACGTTACAATACATATATGTAAATTTTTTTTAATACTATATTGTTTGCTTTCATTACGTCAATCATTAATATTATAACTTAAGCGCATAAAATATCAACTATGTCATTTATTCATCTTATTACAACATGTGACTTAGTAAAACAATGATGACAATGTCACTGTCACGCTCAAAAACTTCTCTCATCATGTAGTTTGCTACAATCGATAGTCTACTGTAAATCAGTCTTACAAACAACAACAACCAAGCCTTATTCCACTAAGTGCAGTCGGTTATATAAATCTTAGAACACCACTGTGCTCGATTTTGCACCAAGTCTTTTGTTAGCTACAAGTATTCCATATCTTTCTTATAGTATCTTTTCAAATCTTCCAAGGACTTCCTCTATCTCTTTACTACAAAAAATAATAATAATAATAATAATAATTTGAGTTTGAGTGCAGATGAGCGCAATCTACATTAGAACAAAGCATATCTTTCTCCCACAATCATCTCATCACCTGCTTGATCCCATAACTTCTAATCTCAATATATATACATGGTAAACTGGCAACAAGATATGAGAACATCATGAAATGGAATTAGTTTTAACTTGTAGAAAAAAGTCAACCCGTTGATTTTTTAACTTCATTAAGGCTCCAGATAGCCGTTTTCATGATTAAATTAAAGCCAATTTCTACAGGCTCCTCCAATAAATCAACCGCGGTTAAAGGCTAATTTCCCATGATTACAAAGGCCTTCTCTACGCTTTTTAACCTTGTCATTTCCATTTTATTTTGGGTAATAGAGCTTAACACCTTTCAAATTCAAAATATAATCATAACATTAACAAAGCAAAATGGGGTCCCTCGACTCTTATAAGATTCATTAGTTATTTCCACCGGTAAGTATCTTTTGTTGGTAAATCCATCTGTTTCTCTTTTGTTTTCTTAGTAAACTCTCTCTAATCCATTTTTTAATTCATGCAAACGTTCACGTTCACGGTTTAATAATTTAAGTAACATATTTTTTTGGTAAACAATTTAATTAATTAACATTTTGGTTCTACCTAAATGGTGTAATACTTCGGAAAAAAAATGGTGTAATACAAATTTAAAAAAATATTATTATACTAAGGAAAACGGGGAGATTCGAAACTATTAAAGTAAGTCATGGGAGGAAGTTTCAAACCAGGGACACAGGTATAAACTGAACATCCTGTTCACTAAGATATTAGACCTCATGCAATATGACTTTATCTTTGTGGGATTTGTTTGTACCTATGTGTAGATTAAAAAAATCCATAAAAATACGATTAGAAAAAATGTTATTGAATAGTGAAAAGAAACATTTGAAAATAACTTGAACTTCCACAAAACGATAAAAGATAAAATAATTCAACGACTAAGTATATTAAAAAGAAACAAAACTACCAAAAATAAGGTACAAAAAAATTAATAATAATAAATAAAAAAAAAGATCATATTTTGTATTTGTGTTACCTCCTTCTCATCTTATTGGTATATTACAATTGCTACCTAAAAATTAATCAATTATACAGTCATGCCAGCTCAATGCCAAACCTAAATATATAACGCACCACCACCTTCACACCTTCCTTCTTTTTATATAAATAATTCAAATATACCATTTTTATAAAACATTCCACGAAATACCGAATCTTGATTAATAATTATCACAACCGCTGATGAAATTAATAGTCTTGAATGGAATACGGCCTCCAGTTGGAGCCTTGTTAATTTACCACCCAAAATATTGGATCATATTCATCTAGACTACCAAACATGATCACAACAATAACAATTTAAATTTGCCCCCGTGTTCAATTAAATTAGCTAATTTATATAAAGCGTTTGAACTTTTGAAAAATATTAGGCTTTAGAGATTGCAATAATCCGGACACTGATATTATGATTTAAAGATATGATTCTTTACTTATTAGTAAGAGTTTTCGAGTTTGATTTTCGTCAATATCGAATTCAATACTAATTAATTTTATTAGCACATTGTGTGATTTACCCCAAGTTGTTTACGCTTAAACTTTATAACTTCGATTTTGATCTCATTATAGAGGATATAACTCCGATTCTTTCTAATTTCACCTCTTCACGAGTGTGACATGTTATTAAAACCGCCAAAGGTACGGTCCATAAATTAGCCAAATTGGCTTTAATTTCTAGTTTCACAAGCCATTAGTTTGATGAGGCTCTAGATATTATCTAGAATGTCCTTATGAAAAATTGTAACCGTTCTCATATATGAATAAAACACAATCGTCTCTTTAAAATTAAAAAAAAAAAAAAAAAAAAAAAAAGGAATTTGAATTACATTATTGATAGCCAATTGTAAGGCTAAGCCACCCCCTTTCTCCTTAGTGCATACAATATCGTTTGTTTAAAAAAAGTATTGCCAGGGAGATCAAATTTTTTAAACTAAATTTACAAACTAAATGATATGGTTGTAGATGATTGGATTATTAATTAAATATCGATTAACATGCTTGTTCCTTATTAGTGACACATCATTTGGTTTGTAATTTGATTTAAAAAATGTAAGAGAAAATTAGAATTAGATGCCTTATTTTAGACTTTTGTAGACTAAACATTTATGCTTTTTGAGTTTTTTATTAAGCTTTTGAAACATTTGATTAAGATACTCAAACTTGAACTACTTTGTACTAATTGAAATTAATTTACATTTAAATATTTGCTATATATTTTAAATAATTTCAACTATATTTAAGTCTAAAAATTTAAACTTTTCAAATCTAAATGTACCAACATTAAATAAAAACGTACCAACATTAAATAAAAACGTACCAACATTAAATGTGCCAAATGGAAATGTACCAACATTAAATAAAAACGTACCAACGTCAAACAAAAACGTACCAACCCCGAATTAAAACGTACCCAATTATAAACTATATTAAAATGAATATTCATCTTTTTGGTATGTTTAAAAATATGTTTGATTCATACACAATGCCCTATATAGTCTTGTTTTTTGGTAGATAAGTCTCTGGAACAACTTTTAGTTGATCGGAGATAAATCCTTTTATTGTAGATAATACTAAATAATAATGATAAATCATATAATTTTGAATTAACAAAAAAGCTATTGTCCGTTGATTAATGACTCTTTCTATAAATATAAAAAAAATTAATTAAAGTAATTTAAACTTTTACATTGTTCACGATTCTTTCTATAAAAAAATAATTAATTAAAGTAATTCCTCGTTATAAAAGTAATAAAGCTTATGTTTTGAAAACAAATGTACAAAAAATTCAAATGTACCAAGAAGCTAAATGGATCAAAATTTAAATGTACCATTATAATCAAACGTACTGATATAACCAAACATACCTAACAATGAGTTTTGTTACATTTTATTTAATTTACTAAAATAAATATTTTAATATAAAATTAAAAAAAAATCTTATATCATCATAATAAGAAATGCATAAAAATAAGAGGAAAAAAGGGAATGCTAACATGAATAAATTTCTAATAAAATAAAATTAAAGTACCAAAATTGTAGGGAAAATATTTAATCAAATTTGCAAAAGAAATAGATGTTTAGTTTATGATATTTAAAAACGAAATGTCTATATCAAAACGTCACACAATGTAATCATCCTGGCATTATTCTTAAAAAAAAACTAAAAAACTTTACCTCACTCTAAAGAAAAAAAAAAGTAAAAAAATAAAAAACTTTACCTCACAACAGGATGTGGGCCCGCCAATTATTACTAGGGTTACAGCAACTGTCGTGTACAAATGCTTTGTCTGTAACATAACAGGCATTGTCCTCCTCGAAACACGATCAACGGCTTCAAATTCGAATTGGAAGGTTGATCAATCAAAAGGGTCAGACCGTCATTTCCTCATCAAAGGAAGGGGTAATTTAGGCACATCAAAAGGCAAATTTAAAGCCACGTCATCGGATGCCAATCTGGCATTGGCTCCGATAAGGTGGACATGCACGCGCTTGTCGAGCTTTATAAACCCTACCCCCTCTCTTCCATGTTCCTTACTCCATCTCCAAGGCGTGCCATTTCGCTCTCATTGCCCTCCCTCTCTATCTCTCTCTTTCTCTCTCTACTCTCCCTAAACAACAAGACAATCATCAATTGCTTCGTTTCTTCATGCGTCCTTCTCTTCATTCCCAAAAACTCTGAAATTCTCACACTTTTTTAACGCCATTATCGAGCAGAGCTACACATCAGGACTGAGTTGTCGAATTATTAATTTGGTCGCTCAGCTCAAACATTGCCCCCTCTCTCTCTCTCCCTAATTTTCTCGCTCATACATTTTCCCACCCTCCAATTGCGCTGCAGCTTTTGATCCTTTCTCAGCCGACACAAAAAAGTCACAAAAGCTACAGATTTCTGTAGCTAAAAACCTCAAATTATACAGTTCCATTTCTCAACAAACAATAATGTCGAGGTGGGAAAATACACCGAGAGAAGACAGATACAGGCACGAAAGGAAAAACCCTTCTTTCTCATCCTCTCTCCTTGACAAAATTTACCGTTCGATCGATGAGGGTTCTCCAAGAAACCGCGAGGACTCGATGTTTTACAATGAAACAATGCCGAAGAAACAGAGCAGAAGCGGCGGGAAAAGCGGCAGAGCAGTCGAAGAAGACGAGATGGCAAGCCTCCACCGAGCTTGTTTGATCGAGAAATGGATGGAAAAGAAGGTCAGTCAGAAGGTCGGGGTACAAAGAAGACAGCATTTGGGTGAATTGGACCGAAAATTAGACCGTGATCACGCCCGTGATCTTGATGCTTTGTTTTTCAGCTCCACTTCCAGCTCCTCGGATTCGAGCTCCGGCGGATTCTCCTCCTCGGACGCTGACTCCATGTTCGGGTCTAAGTCGAGATCCTCTTGTTTTGCCCCGCCGTGGCCGAAGGCGGTTCGCACCAGCGTCTCGGCCCGGTCGGTGAAAGCAGAGGAAAAAACAGAGAGGAAACAGAGGGAAGTGCACATGTTTGATGACTATCATTACAGTTGCTCCTCGGAACCGACTCCGAAGCTCGACGAAGGCATAATTAAGTCGAAATCGAGGGCATTGAAGATTTACAACAATCTAAAGAAGGTCAAACAGCCGCTTTCGCCGGGCGGTCGGGTGTCAAATTTCCTCAATTCATTCTTCACCGCAGGGCAGACCAAGAAAACAAAGAGCACTTCATCAATTGGAGGATACGAGGAAGCGAGTGTGGAAAGGAAACTGAAATCAGGGCCAGACTCAACATGTTCTTCAGCCTCTTCATTTTCAAGATCATGTTTGAGTAAGAACTCTCCATCTACTCGAGAAAAACTGCTAAAGGGGGTTAAAAGATCGGTTCATTTCTATCCGGTGAGTGTGATCGTGGACGAAGATTGCAGGCCATGTGGGCAGAAATGCTTGTACGAAGGGGAGGATCAAACCCTAATGCCGGTCACTGTTCCGACAGCATGGAAAATTGGTCGATCTCCTGGGAGAAAAGCGGAGGAGGAGCTTAAGCTTCAAGCGTTGGAGAAAAGCAGAAGAGTTGAGGAAGCGGCCAGAGAGATTTTGAGAGATAGCCATCGGAACCAAGTTAAGAGTGAATTAGTGAACAGAGATTATCGTGACCGCCATGATGGTGATGACGATGATGCTGCTAGTTGTTCGAGTTCGGATCTTTTTGAGCTTGATCACCTTGCGGTGATCGGAAAAGAAAGATATTTGGAAGAGCTTCCAGTGTACGAAACCACTCACGTTCGTACAAATCGTGCCATTGCTAATGGCTTGATAATCTAGTTAACAATGTAGTATTTTTTTTTTTTTCACTCTTCTAAGTTTGATTACAGCATATACAATTATAGAACTAGATTTGTTCTTGATTAGTTTTCTCTCTTTGTTTTACTAATTAATGGAAATGGTTTTACGAGGGGATACAAAATGTGGCTCTTCATGAAACAGGATCAGATGATATTCTAAATAACTCTAATTTATGGAGTAGATGATCAACCTCAGGTAAAAAGGGCGGACACACTGTCTTTGTTAATTGACATAACCCCCATCTAAGTTATAAATTCTAATTCGACATGGTAGATTTCGATGAGTGGTACACATGGCAGCTAATTTGTTTTTGTGTTGGGAAAAAGAAAGCTTGAAACTTGAATGATCAATAAGATGGCAATCTGGGGATGTAAAAAAGGGAAAAAGTGAGGGAACATAGAGTTTGATATTCTGAAAAGAAAGAGAGAAGGGGAATGGGGATGCGTTACATTCTGGATCATGATCAAACACTCAGATGGATACTGACAGAGTGCAGTGCTTGATAGGAACGGGAAAAAGGGAAGGGGAAGAAAGAAAAAGAGCAAGAGAAAAATGAAAGATTCGATGATGCTGATCACAAGCAAGCAACCAAAGCAAGAAACTGAGAAATGATATGAGATGACGAGTCCAGCTCTCTTGGTAACCTGGTGATCAATGATACATAGTCATCAACTGTTGGATCTGACATTCGAGAAAAAAAATTTTAAATAATGTGCATATATTCTCCACATTTAATATTAAATTTAACAGCGAGTGACCATGCATTCTTCGATCGTAATATGATGAAATTAAATTAAATTTATGAAAGAAAGATGGGGTGTGATGGCAAAGGCAAAGGCAGATCTTCGCCCATGGGAATAGAGAAAGTGAAGTCCTCCTAAAGCACTTGCTTTTGCTTCTTCTTTCTTTCTCTGGAATTGTATTTTTGTAAATGTTTTTTGGATTTTTGGGAATTTGGCACCCTTGTAACTTAAACGTTGCGTTAACATCCCCATCTCATCATCCCAAGAAAACATAAAGACACTTGTACTGAACCCTACTTGGGTCTTTGGGTTCATGGATTCTCCATCCCCTTCAAATTTCCAACCGTGCTTTTTCCCTTTCCAAGTGCCTGCAAATTACAAATACTTTGGTTTCGTAGCACCTAGTTTTCACTTTTTATTGAAGATTATGAGTTATTAATGATAGAGAAGTTGGCGATAATCAAACACACGATCTTAAGTGCGGCAACAACTCTAAAGAAATGTAGGTAATACCAATGCACATAATTCCTAACCTCTTACGTTTCAAATACTTGTAAATACTTTTAACTAACCAACACATGCTCTTCTATTTGTCGTACATAATTTGGTTATTTCTTCCCAAGATGAACCGAGTAGCAGATAAGAGATTGGGGGTGGGCAGTTGGTATCTGCATACTGATTTTTCTAATATGATTGAGAGGAATTAATGTCACACATACGTGAACTTGTGGTTACGTGCTACATTCATACGCATATTCTTTGCATGTGCAGCTGCCAAACCATCAATACGTATTTCTAATAATCTTTTTTATTTCGAGAACTGTGAAGTTTTTTAGTGTGTTAGGAAAACGGTCTGGTATATTAAGTGTAATAATGTTATTGGTTAGAAACTTGAAAAAAAAAGTTCAACCAATTGCGTTATAACACTTAGTGTACTGAACCGTGTACCCAGCACACTGAAATTTTTCTTGAAGAAGTACCAATGCATGTAGTACATTTGTATTATTATATCAAGTACTGCGGGAATGAGGGGACACGAGGACGAGCTGTAGAACTGATGATTTTCTGTAGCGACTAAGAAACCGACTGAACACGATTAAATTCAAAGATGCTTTGATTCTTGTAATCAACATTGGAATTAAAGAAAACCCTACAGATTGTTGAAGGGTTCATTGTTAATTAGTAGACCTAATAATGGCCTATTAATATATAAGATTAGTAGTACGTGATGAGCATGCAAATGCAACTTTGCGTCGTCTCAAATTCTTAATGCGAAGAATTGTGACTTGAGAAGGAATCTCTCTCTCTCTCTCTCTCTCTCTCTCTCTCTCTCTCTCTCTCTAAGTCAAAGTTAGCATCATCTTACGATTAACTAACTAAAAAACAAGATTAAGAAACTCAACTCTATTCATTGAAGTCTTCTTTATCTAGTTAATATATTTTTCTAAAAATATCCTTTTAAATTAAAGACTGTTTAGTTATTCATATGAATTAAAGGAATCAACGGTTCATCACTTGTTATCATAACTATTTTGTTCGACATATATGAATGTCTACACGGTTTCTAATTTTGAATATAATAATTAAGTAATGGTAAAGAGATTGAACGATGTGATTATTCTTATTGTGGAAATAATGTCACATTAGTAGGGAATGAAGACTTTCCTCCTTTTCAGAAATAAGGGAAGTATTGTCCTCCAAGGAATCCTACCACACAACTAATTATGTTTTCTCAATCAGATACAAAACTATAGGGCTCCAAGGGTTGAAATTTATCAGTAAATTAACAAGATTAAGCAAGTTGATTAACAATGTTGATGAATGAATTCAATATTGGTTATTTTAGGGTAATTTAGTAGGTGAGGTGGGGGGAAATTGCCAGCAATAATTAGAAGAATAATGTGTGTGGTTGGATGAAGAAGGAGAGTTGATACAATTGATAAACAAACCACCTAACTGCTTATAGTCTTTTACCACTTTTGGACCATCCTAGGTTTCTAGCTAGGTTTACAAATCCCTAATCATGTTCATGATATTCCCCCTTCCTAACCAATTGCTCGATTTTGGTTTTTTTAACACCAAATTTAATGTATTTAAAATCATGATCGAGAACAAACTTGATCATCCCACAAAAGCAAAAGTCATGACAAATAAACGATACAAGGTAGTGTATATGCATATTGACGTCGCCTTTGCTTTTATCAATAACATATTTGAGCTCAGTATGATCTCTTTAACGAAGTAAACATGTGGGTATCACTAGACCGAAATTTATGATGTGCAATATGAACAATGTTTAATAATCGACAACTATTGTTTCAAACACTCACGATTTTTTCAAAGTACAAATTGAGTAGTGTTATTAAGTCAAATGATGATGTTCATATTAATGCAAGTAATTATATGATCCTTTTCTTTAGATTTTAATATGCTCCTTTATTGTTCACCAAGAAAAATCACTCTCAGTAGCATTGTTAAATTCAGAAACTGTGCATCCTGAACTTTTTTGCTGTTTTCTGGATATTTTTGTGGCATCTCTTAAGTCGAAGTTGAAGTTGAAGTTCACTAGTCAAATCAAGCCTGCAAAACTCTACCCTATAAATATAAATAGCTATTTAACATTCTCAAGTTAATTAAAGTCGTCAATAGTGGGAAAAAGAAAAAGGAATCTAATTCTGGCCACCTTCCATTTACAATCCTCCAGCCCTAAGAAAGTTCATCAATTAACTCTTAGCTATGGGGACTCGACATTTCAGTGATATAATTATAAACTAGTCGCTACCTGCAACCAAAGGACTTTTCGGCCTGGAATCAATAACGAATTCAACAAACTCTTGACCAAATTCAATATACATACATACATACATACATATATATATATATATATAGATTACCAAATACTGCAAATTATAATATTCTTTCTGTTAGGGAAACAACAATATAATATGTAACAAAGAAACAAAAGCCACCCACCAGAACGTATGAGAGAACTAAATTCTTAAGATTATCTGCATACAAAACATTATACACATTTACACACGAATCCTTTCTTAACAGCTACCATGTTGTATGATATCAAAAGGAAAAGATAAACAAATGCAGTGAAATATATAAGATTTAGTATATCATAAATACATTATTCCTACTAGTGTTCTATCCCTACCTGTGTATTTTAATTTCTAACCGAAATGCATGATTTTTTTATCAACTGTGAAATGTATTGAACAAAACCAAGTGGAGGTGGGGAAAAGGGCGAGGACCTCCAGACTGACAGGCTGAGCCCTGCGCCATGAGGGAGGGCCAGCTGCTCTCAATAAGATTACGATCGTTGAATGGTCCACAGTCTCCTCCTCCTCAGTCCTCACTAGATTAGGTTCCACTACTTTTATTTTTTGGCTGTTTGGGCAGTGAAAGAGTAAAAGATAACAAAGTCACAAAAGAAAATAAGCGATTGTCGATCCCGAGGTGAAAATTCCTTAAGCTTAGTTGTTAGCACCGTCGTCATCTCCTTTGACCTACAAAAGTGATGATCTGTGAATGTGAGAGTTGTTCTCGTAGGACCACTTACTTGTAGTAACTGTTAGGGTTTCAAGATTCATCTTCGTCTCTATCCCCATAGACTTGCATGCATTTAAACATATAGCACTGACAATCTAACCTATTCATTGGACACTTCATCGACTCCAATTATGTCGAAGGGTTTCGCTAGCGTCAATCTGACATAGACCTAAACCCTCAATTTGAGCAGTACGCTGCTTGCTCATCTATTGATATATAGATTTCACTCGCGTCAATCAGATCTAAACTCTAAACTCCGAGATGTAAACCCTAATCTCACAATTATCAATGTATGAATTACAGTAGCACATCTCCCGAAAACGACTGACGCTAGCACACTTTTTATCTCGAATCAATCTTTATGTCTTCATATTAGTTTTAGGTTTATAGTAAAGTTTACGTGTTTCAAGTATATTCATAGCTACCACTAGAAGGAGCCACTAATTAGTGGTGGTCCAAATTTTAACCCTTTTGCCTTTTTATTATGCGTTATCCTAGATAGATCATCTATTTAAATTAAATTTTGTAAACCATGTGATGTGGTTGTTATGATTCAATCATTACTTAAACATTGATTAACGTGCTTATTTCTTATTAGTACACATACATGATTTGCAAATTTAATTTAAAAAATTGGTGCATTATCCTTTAATTATAGTAAATTCCGGCTAGAGTGTAAAATTTTGGCATTCATCCTCATATATTCATATATATATAATCGGAATTTATCATAGATTCTATCGCCACATCCACATAATCTAAACAAAAACAAACAATTGACCCCACAAAATCCGCCCAAATTGTTTATTGCATGAACTAATCAACAAAGATTACGACACCTTTAATCACCATTAAACCGTTATTAAGCTTCCTCTCTTTGCATCTTCTTACTAATTAATCATAATTAGCATATAGAAGAATAGAACATCATGAACTATCACAAGAAAATGGGCTCCATATTTGGGTC